CCACAAGAAAAAAAAGTATTTCATTTTCAGCCTTGATGGCTTCTAGTGAGAATCAGATTCACATCCTTCTCCTATAAGTAATGTCTTTTTTTTCTGTTCACTTGGGAGATTGTCCTTAGTTCTCAGCATTTTCATTATGTGACTGTGAGTTTGTTTTTCCTGTTTGGTGTTCACTGAGCTGCTTTTTTTTTTTTTTTTGGTCTTTTTGAGACAGGGTCTCGCTATGAAGTTCAGGCTGGCCTTGAGCTCACTTTGTAGCTCAGGCTGGTCTCAAACTCACAAGGATCCTCCTGCCTCAGCCTCTTAAGTGCTGAAATTACAGGCGTGCACCACCAGGCCTGGCTTCCTTTCCTTTTCTCAATACTACCTCTGAAACTCTCTAATTATTTCCTTGTTGCCCTGGCTTTTTTCTTGTCTATTCCCCTCTTCTTGCAATAGGTGCAACTGGATCTCCTGGCTCCCTTGCCTCCATTTGGCATTCTATTGCTGAGGTCAGCTGTGCCTTTTTCCTCTCTTTGGTTTTTTCCACAATTCCCCATTTCTCACTAACTCTAGAGTAAGACACCCAAACATTAGGTTGATCCTCTGTTCTCTTTGCTGTACTCAGGTTTTTGCCAGTAGGTCATTAATTCATCCTGGTCCGTAGGGCACAAACAATATGTGCAGTGTGCATGCACTTGGAGCTGGGTGGGGGGGCAAGACCATACATACCAAGCCTCTCGCTACAGCTGGAGGTCTCGCCTTCACCCCACCTTCTTGTCCAATAAAAGCATTCAATCCTAACAAGTGTCCAAGCACCTATTCCAGACTGTACACTGTTAGGCCGTGCCTAGTCATATAGCAGGAATTCTAAACCAAAATGCCAAAGCAGGTAAACTGAGGAGCACCTGTCCCTACCCCATGTAAAAGGTCAGCCATCAGTCAGCTCCATTTTTTATCGCCATGCAGGAACCAGTGTTGATCCAGTGTTGCTAGATCTTCTGGTTGCTCAAGAGAAGCTGGAGACCTGAAGTTATGTATAAATTCTTCCAACTTTTGCATACTAGCAGCCAATTCACATTTTTTCAACATTCTACAGCCAAACAAAACACATCTATTGTCTGAATTTAGTGAGTGGAGACCAATCTGCCTGGCTGTAGTGTAGTGGTGAGGCAAGAGCTTCTTCTGAGCAGATGAATCCCAACTTCTGAGAAATTACATCCTAACCTCTCCTGTTTTCACTGTCCAGTGTAAGTATTAAGGACTTGCAAATGTTACACATTTAAATGCCCCTCTCATTCATCTTTGCTCGGACAAAAAATGTCTGCCGGTCCCCCCGCCCCCCCCCACTCGGCCCAGTGGAGGCATTCCTTCTCCCCTACCCACCACACACCATCTCCACCCCATGTACCAGAGAGTGCATGGTTCTTCAGGAGGAAGTACTGATTTCTCCAGCTGCCAGGCATGTTCAGCAGAGTTCCTCTCAAGGAATTGCCCTCAGCTAAAGAGTGCTACCTCACACCAGGTCACGCCACTCCCCAGGAGAACCTGTACAACTAGTAAATGTAGGCTGAGGTGGCTCCAATCTACCTTAAGGGATTAGCCTCCAAGGAATGGATCAGCTGAGGCTACTGCTGTGACTACATTTAGTTCAACTTCTCTTTCTCCTTACTCTTCTCACCGCCCTCTACACAGTGTTGACCCAAAGGGTATTAGGTCCCATGGGTAGGGTCTGATCAGAGAAGTGGTCAAGCCCTAGCCACCCAGCAATAAGGGCTCTAGGTGAAGCTCTGATAGGCCTGGCTGTGCTGTAGCAGTACATTGTTACAACTTTCAGCAGCAGTAAGGGGATGGATATGTGGTAAGTGCCGTGTAGCAGGTGTTTGGAAAATATGGGGAGGCCGGGCATGGTGGCACACACCTGTAATCCCAGCACTCGGGTGGCTGAGACAGGAGGATCACTGGGAGTTCGAGACCAGCCTGGGCTACAAAGTGAGCTCAAGGCCAGCCTGAACTGCATAGCGAGACCTTGTCTCAAAAAGCCAAAAAAAAAAAAAAAAAAAAGGATATATCTTTGGTTCCAATTTTAGGATTCCAAATGCATGAACAATTTTGTGCAGGTCGTGTTCTCAGTTTCAACATCAGGAGCCCCCGGCAGTGTCTAAACAGCCAGGCAATGTGTGGAAAGGATGTTGGTGGGTTAGAGGTTGGGTAGGGAGCCTGGGTTACCCCAGGAAGCAGGCAGGAACCAGTGAAGGTGATCAGCAGGCAATCCAGAAAAGAGGTGACACGGGGACATTAGCCACAGCCACAGTCACAACCCAGGGCACTCCACAGCCACTGCGGTGAAAACCACCTAAGAGCCCCCGTATAAGTCTTTGCATCATAACTCCATAAGCATCCTTCCCAGCTGGGGCAACATAGGCTTGAACCAGGAAGCAGAGACAGGAAGGACTGGCCTTTTTCAGCTTCCACAGGCAGGGACGCTCCCATCAAGACTTTCCAAAAGTGGAATTCCTACAGATAAGAAGGAAATCCTGTGTTATATAGGCCAAACGATCAGCAGAAACTTGAATAAAAGTCTGATTTTTTTGGTTTTCTGCCATGTTTAAATTCAGAGACATGGTAGGTTTTTAAGACATATGTAATATCCAGACTACTCAGTTTGTTCTATATAGTACAGTACTTCGAGAGCCATACAGGCCAATGAGCTAGTATGCGACTCACACTCAGACAGGCCTGAGTTTAAAGCCCAGCTCTATTACTCTCCAGTATTGCCATGTGTAAAAAAAAAAATTCTTTTGTGAAATGGAATCATTATAGTATCTGCTTCAGAGCTCCGGACTTTGAGGATGGAATAAGTTTTTTGTTGTTGTTTGTTTATTTATTTGGTTTGGTTTTATGAGACAGGGTATAGTTCAGGCTGGCCTTGAACTCATGAGGATCCTCCTGTCTCAACCTCCCAAGTGTTAGAATTACCTGCATGTACCCTCACGCCCAGCTTGAAATGAGATTATGCTTATAAATATCTTCCTAGTATACAGAATCTGGGAAACACACAATACCAGCTGTTCCTACTGAGTGGACCTGTTTAAGGTGTGAGAAATTAATATGGTCATTTTGGATCACATACCTGGGAGGCTCTGGCCTGCCCTTAATTTCAGGCAGTTAGATCTACACGATAGTAGAAGAATGTCTGGATATCCATTG